GTGCATAACTATACAAACATCCACATTTCCCAGTGCGATTTCTCCATCATCTTCCCCCCACCTCAACAAATTGGCCAATACTGCTGTTCACTGGTGATGTTCCTGTGGGACCACTCAAATCAATCGTTCATGCCCATTTCAGCTGTCAAATCCTCCCCTGCTCCTGTCTCCTTTTCTACAGGATCAGTATGTCTTCTTGCACCAGTGTCTCCTGGATGGGATCCAATCTGCTCCAAAGAACGACAGGGTGATCCTGGAGCATCCTGCTGTCTATGAAAACATCTTGGCTATGCAGGACTATGAGGTCTCCCGTGTGTGAGAGGCTTGGCTACCTTCTATAGGTTGCAAAACCAATTGCCACTCTCCAAAAACGTTTGAGGCATTCCCCCCCCCACTCCGTATTTAACGTCCATGTTTTAAATGGAGTAAATTTTCCAAAGCAAACATCCCAGACTGTATAGGTAATCTTTTTCTCTGAAATAATTAACTATCGAAATAAGAAGGTTCCCAGTGATTCAGAGCCTCCCTTTTAGCCTCAAGTAATGGTTTCGTCGATTAATTAAGTAAACATGACCAGCTGTGAAAAAAATTGTTGGCATACAAAATGACTAAGACAAAGCCACGATACAAAACTGAATCAAACATATTAAGTAACCTTTGAAATAACGGAAAACTGAAGTGTGAGTGTCTGACTTTACCAGGTTGCGCAAAAGAAACATTTTTTTCCTGTTGACAATGAACTTATGTTCTTGATATACACAATGGTTTTTTTACTCCTTTGCCCCCCCCCCCCCAATTCATCCTCTTCTCTCACACCACTGTACTGGGAATTGGGAGGGCAGGATGGGGGAGGGTAGCAATTGTGGCACAACAGCGGCGTTTTTTGTCCAATTATACTGTGTGGAAAGTATAATGGGCCCTAAAAGAAATTAAGACTGAAGCACAGCCTGGCTGAATTATTTGGTTGCCTTAGCAACCTGAGTGTCAGCTCCACAATGTTGCCATGGAGCTGTCATAAGTGTCATATATATATATATATATATATATATATATATATATATATATACACATACACACACACACACACACACACACACACACACACACACACAGGTGTGAGTGTATGGATGCCTTCCTTCCTTCCTTCCTTCCTTCCTTCCTTCCTTCCTTCCTTCCTTCCTTCCTTCCTTCCTTCCACACACAAATATATAATAGTCTCCCTTGCACCTTCCATACCTCCCATATATACAGTATATATGTATGTGAATATATTACATGTTGTATTCATATATCTGCATATATACATATTGCATATTGCATTCATATATATGCATGCATTTATATATTTATATGTACCTATGTAACTTATATGCATTCAGATCTGCCTTGTAGATACCTTCTAGACAAATCTAAAAGGCAAATTTGAATGCGTGTGTGTATGTGTACTGTATATGTGTACATGCATACATACATATACCTAGATAAATGCATGCATATATATATGAATGCAATATGCAATATGTATATATGGACAGACATATGAATGCAGCTCACTAGTGGTACTCACAGAATGGGAGGCAACCCTGGGTGAGAGGTGCTCTTCAGGAACCATACCAACGCATACTCAAGGTGCTCTCCCAGGTCCTTCTCTCTTGACATCTTTTTTTTTTACCTGTTGGAAAAAGTTGGGTTCACATCCTCTAAAGAGAGGAGGAGAAGGAGGGTGGTGAGGAGGAGACCTTTCTTCAGCAAAACTGAATTGGGACTCCTCCTGGCTGCAGGTTCCTGAATGTGCTCCAAGTAAACTCATTCTAGTGGTGGGGCTCTACATTGTATGGTCTTTTTGGGAGGAAAGCTACTGAAACCTTGCAACTGGAAGGAGGGTAAATTGCAAGTAAGAATGGTGGGACAGGAAAGAAACTGAGTTGAATTTCGATCCCAAAGCTGATAAATCAAAGAGGTACGAGTTTGATCCAGAATTCTCCTTCTCCTTCTCCTTCTCCTTCTCCTTCTCCTTCTCCTTCTCCTTCTCCTTCTCCTTCTCCTTCTCCTTCTCCTTCTCCTCTCCTTCTCCTCTCCTCCTCCTCCTCCTCCTCCTCCTCCTTCTCTCCTTCTTCTTCTTCTTCTTCTTCTTCTTCTTCTTCTTCTTTTCTTCTTCTTCTTCTTCTTCTTCTTCTTCTTCTTCTTCTTCTTCTTCCCTCCTCCTGTTTTTCCTTCCTATTATTACTCCTGTGTTAGGGCAGGGGCTGCTTGGGATCCAGACTTCTTAGATTTGCTAAAGAGATGAGAAAGTAGAAAGCTGGAAGCTAACCCAATCTTTTGAATTCTTTGGGAGAACGGTGACATTCATCCATCAGAATACCAGGCTGTCACCTTTAGAAATGAGTAATAGAGAGCTGTCAGTTTTCAGATGATATTAGACTTCAATTTTCATCAATCCTAACCAAAATGATCAATGGATGGAGATGATTGATCAACAAGCTTCAGAAAGGAGGTGGGGAAGTGGATGAGGAGTCAAAGATTCCTTTACGCAGAAAATAATTCTTGCACTATAAATGCACGATGGGTAAAGTCAAGTTCTCGTGCATTTTCCTTCTGGGTTTTTGAAAGGAAAAGCAGTTAGTAGTTTTACTAGAAAGATGGCTCTCTCTGTGTGTATATGCTGTTGATAAAACTAAATGCCAAAAACTCACCTAACTTAATTTTGTTATGGAGTGAGCCAGAAATATTTGTTAGAGGAGTTGCTTACTCCACAGGAGGGCAGCAATGCCTCTCTCTGTCTCTCTCACTCACACAAACCCACAACACAACATAGATACGTACAATCCAATTCTTTTAGCCCCCCCCCAATTCTGTCCATCTTTGTTCTATCTCCCTCTGCAGCACAAGCCCATTAGCAACAGTACACACCATTCTTCCTCATAAGTGACTATTCCCACCCAGTTCAAAGATAGCCTCCTCTATTTCGCGCTCTGCCTCTTACACAGAATGACCCACACTTCTTTTTATTTGTACAAGTGTGAATATCTATACCTTTCCACTTCACTATCACATGACCCATTCTATTATCAAAGCATACACCCATAACACTTGAGATGAGCCTTCCCACTGTTCTACAAGAGAACCGTATTCCACTCATTCAGCCTTGTTCTATTTTCTTTACATTCATTCACTTGCCACCTCTGTATGTTTTGTGCATTTGTGATATAATCTCCCTCTCCAACTGCCTTGTTGAGAATGCACCCTACAACATAAAGAGTCAGCTGTTCATCTTCTGGCATCTTACATTAATACTGCACATCTGCTGCGAAGATCAGGATCTTTAAAACACAAAAAGCAAAGGAAGCCAGACAAAGTAATCGAAAATCTACAACTGGAAGTAGATTCCAAAACATCAAAAAAAAAAATGTTTGAAAGAATACAAATGCTTTCAGGTTTATCATAGAGTGCAGAGGTGGGGAACATCCTCTTAATTGCTTTTGCATAAAAGTAGTCCTTGTTTAGTGACCAGAATTGGGACCGGAAGCTCCATTGTTAAGCAAAACAATTGATAATGAAGGTCTGACTGAGCTTAGGATCTTATTTCAGCTTTCCTTTCCTTTACAGACCTGTGAATGTCTGAAAAGCATTGGCTATAAAGTTAGTTTCATCACTGTCATAACTGTAAATGGTGACTGAGGCAATTGCTCTCTTGCAGGGTTTAATATCCTATGATTGGCAAATAGTTGACTGGAATTGGGTATGGCTAGTCTAGTGAAAAGAAAGACTAGGGGTGACAGGATAGCAGTGTTCCAAAATTTAAGCAGTTGCCACAAAGAAGAAAGTGTCAAGCAATGGATGGAAACTAATCAAGGAGAGAAACAACCTAGAATTAAGGAGAGTTTTCCTGACAGAACAATTAATCAATGGAATGAATTGCCTCCAGAAGTTGAGGGAGCTCCATCGTTGGAAGTTTTTAAGAAGAGATTGGACAACCATTAGTCTGAAATGGTATGGGGTTTCCTGCCTGAGCAAGGGGGTTGGACTAGAAGACCTCCAAAGTCCCTTTCAAGTCTATTATTCTGTTATTCTGTTATTCTGACTCTCATTCCCATATTTCTGACTTTCTCAGCCACTTATGAAAAATGGGTCAAGAGTTTTATATATGAACTCTTGTGCATATATTCTTCCTCTCTAATATTCACACACTTACCACACACAAGCATGCAGGTTTATTCACTCACACAGTACGTTGTGCAAGCCAGAACAATATATCTGGTTCTGGATTGCTATCCTTGAATTTCAAGTGTTTGGACAGTCAAGCTATATAGTAGGAGATCCATACAGATCTCCCATCACTAGCGTAGACACATAATTTATGTTGGTTTTCATGGCCATCCTTTCTCCACATAAGGAGCTCTCCTACAGAATATATTTTGGGAGGATGGCAAATACCCAAAATTCTCCAAGGAGATTCTCAATACCACCTTCTGGAAGGAGCCAGATTGAAAATTGAAATTATTGGAAGTTTGGACTCTGGGTGGATTTGCCTTTTTTCTCTAGGAAGGTGACAGTCCCTTCCTGTTGGCTCTTTTGTTGCTGAGATCTAGATTGAGATGCCCAGCAGACCGGGGATAACTATTTGCTTTATATAACCCCACTCCCTCAATTTCTTGTAGCATCCCTATCAAGTATTGTGCTTTGTAATCACAGACATACAGTATGAATGCTTGTGAGGCTGGGTTGACTTCACAGACCCCTGTGATAAGTACATGGATAAGTGTATAGTACTCAATGGTGTTTCAGGAAGGGAAATACAGAATGAATCATGCATCCACCTTTCTTTAAAGTGAACAAAAAGAAAGATATACAGATGTTACATTAAGTCATACCTCTGTGTACAAGGCTTTACATGACTTCCATGCCCTCTTCCAGAATGGATATGGCTTTATATATTGAACTTGATATCCGTAGACCCTTTCCCCATATCTCCACACAACAGAGATACACACCCCGTCCACCCCTGCCTTTCTTTAGCCTTCTCTCTAACCCCACCTTTTCCTTCCTAGCTCCACCCCCTCAGCCAGCAACGTTTCAGAACCACGGGCCGTGGACAGCTCCGTTGGAGAGCTTCTTTGAGGAAAGAAAAAAAAAAGGCAACCACAATAAAAAAAAAAAAAAAGGCAACGATTTTGTTCTTGCCCGCTGCTCCTCTTTCATTTTGCTTTCGTCTCGCCCTGCTTTTTGATCTGTCCAGGACAACCGCCACTCCTCCTGGGAAGGGGAAAAAATGGGTAAGAAGCGCCCCTTTGGGACTTCGGTTTTCTGGGAAGATCTGCCGCGAGCAAATGGGTGGGTTTCCCAGGGCTGAACTGCTCATTCAACCTCCACGTTTTGCGTTGCGGGATACAACTAACGCGTTTGTTGGTTTGGCTTTTCCCGATCGGATCGAGGAGGGAGGAAGAAAGGGGAGATCGGGAGATCACCTGAACCCCTTCCCTGCAGCGGAGGACGATCCCTCGGAGCTCAGGAAACAAAGGCAGGTGTTCTGCTCCGCGTACAAAGATTCAAGAAGGAGAAAAAAATCATGGGTGTGCTTTTAACTTGTGAGAGTGTGGTTGCGTGTCTGCTTCTCTTGCACAAGCGGTGCCTCGTGGAGAGGTTGCCTCGCAGGGGCATCATTTTGGTTCCCAAATGGAATCAGGCTTGCGCTGAAGGGGGGAGGGGCACAATTGAGAATTGGCAGCACCCAACTCAGGTTCTTCAATAGGAGGAACTCTCTGAATCCCGTTTCCTCCCTTTTCTTTCTCTACTGCAACTCTGGTTTCCTTTAAATTCTTTTTTTTAAAATGTACTATACGTAGGGATGTGGCTTCCCTGAATTCAGAAAAGAAGCCAGCCACCTGAAGAGGACAGATTTAGATTGCTTGTTTGGTTATATGCGTGGGCACCCGTATAAAACAAGAGTATATTTAGGGTTGGGTGGTTTTTTTGCCATGGTGAAGTCTGAACTGAAGGGAGTTGTCCCTTCTCAGCCATCAATAATTCAGATGGAAGCAAATTGTGGCTTTAAGGGTGGGGCATAACTTCTCTCTTTCTCTCTCAAGCTAATGAAACCAGCCAGCTCTTTGCTTCTTTTCAAAGCAGGCCAGGCTTAAGGCAAGGGCTTGGTTTGGGTATGCTGCATTCAGTGGAATTCCACAAGTGCATTTGGACACGTTGAAGTTGAATTCCTCACCTCATCACTAGAAAATTTTGTGAAGGGAGTATGAACGATTTTATCCACCCCCACCCCCTTTCTCCAAGAGGTTCCCAAAAAAAGCATGGGGGCATCCCTTCTCTTTTTACACTGCAGTGGGCTAGGGAAGGGAAATGATCAATGGCCAAAAGGCAAGACCCGGTGAGTTTTAGGATGGAGATAGACTTAGAATTCAGTTGAACAGAATACAGAGAGTCCTCAATTAAGATCGCAATTGAGCCCAAAATTTCCACTGCTAAGTGAGACATTTTGCCCCATTTTACAACCTTCCTTGCCACGGTTGTGAAATGAATCGCTGTGGTTGTTAAGTGAGTAGCACAGTGGTTGAGTGAATCGGGTTTCCCCATTGACTTTGCTTGTCAGAAGGTTGCAAAAGGGGATCTTGTGATCCCGGGATAATTGCAACCGTCATAAATATGAATCAGTTGCCAAGCATCTGAATTTGGATCACATGTCCAAATGGGGATGCTTCAACGGTTGTAAATGTGAAAAATGATTGTAAGTCACTTTTTTCAGTGCTGTTGTAGCTTTGAACAGTCACTAAATGAACTTTTGTAAATCGAGGACTATCTGTAACTACACCACCATGCCAGCCTTCAGCTGCTAGCCCAACAAGGATCTATGACTGGTTCATGATTCCAGTTGCTCTTTCTAGCACTTAAACATAGACTATTCCCTTAAGTCAGAGCTCTTGTGCACATATACAGGCAGCCCTCAACTTATAACCAGAATCTAAATTGCTAAGTAAGGTAGTTGTTGAGTGAATTGCATCCATTTTTAGGACTTTTTTTTTTGCTATGGTTGTTAAGCAAATCACCATGATCATTAAGTGACTGACATAGATTAAGTAAATTTGGCTCTCCCCATTGACTTTGCTTGTTGGAAGCCATCTGGGAAGGTTGCAAATTGTGATCTGGGATACTGCAATTTTTGTAAATTCGTGCCAATTACCAACACCCAAATTTTGATCATATGATTCTGGGGACACTACAACAGTCATAAGTGTAAGAACCAGTGATAAAGGAGAGAACTGGATGGGGTTTTTTTAGTACCATCATAACTTTGAATGACTGCTAAATGAATGGTGATAAGTCAAGGACTTCCTATATACTTTTTGGCATACTTCCAAATATAATCAGCGTTCTACAAAGGATGGTTAGGAGAATTTAATTTAAAGAGAGGAAATCTCCAGAATTTAACTAAAAGATACTTTCAGAATTATTGTGGCTGAGTTTGCTTCCTTTTGGCTTAACTTGTTGGGAAAGCTCAGAAATTATGGTTTTACTGCTAGCTGCATTGGGTGAACCCTGCTGATTATGGGTTACTGAATAAACCTGTTTAAACAAACTACAACAATGTGTGGATCAATATTTTAAAGATATTTATTGTATTCCAATCCTACCCTCCTTTAAGAACGATAGGCAGCTTTCTGGAAAGTCTTCCCCATTTTATCCTCACTAACATCCTGTGAAGGGCTTTGGGCTCATTGACCTAAATTCAAGGGATTGACCATGAGTTCCAAGTTCAACTTCTTAATCTCTCCCACCTTGGCTCTGTGAATGACTCTTCCTGACAGGGGGAGGGATATATAAAGTATATATATTCCCAATCTTCATTCAATGCTGAATGTATCATAAGGCCTGGGTCCCCAATCCCCAGTCTATGGTCCGCGGTATGCCAAAAACCAGGCCACGCTAACAAACCACGCCCCCTCTGGTCCTCGGAAAAATCTCTCTATATATACGAAAACGGTCCCTGGTGCCCTAAAGGTTGGTGTGGGGGGGCACTGTCATAGGCGACCTGAATACTGAGCTCCTCTACTGCATGTAGAAATTCAGTAGGTGAAGCTTCCCCCATCATTGCACTGTATCTGCACGTTAGGAAAAGTTTTACTTTGTGCCTTAGGTTCTCTTGCTAAAGGAATAGAAGGACTATAAAGGTAATGGAGGATCTATTTACCACTTGCTTCTTTGTCATTCTGGCTTTCCTATTTAGCCTTTAGTAGAATGATATTCAGAAATGAAGCAGGCGAATCATTCCCACTCAGGCTGATAAATCAATTTAGGAAATCCTTTTGTATAAAGCAGGGGTCGCCGACTCCCAGACCGCGGCCCACTATTGGGCTGTGGCCCATTCAGAACTGGACCACACAAGCACCCACAGCTTGTGCAAATGGAGCTGTGCACACGTGTATGCACACCTGCCACTCACACAGAACCATTCCCTCTCCCCTTCCCCTCCCCCGTGGCCCCCGGCCAGGCTGTCAAGCCGGAAAGGTTGGGGACAGCTGGTATAAAGACAAAAGGCTTCCATGGTTTTGTTACTTAAGAGTTTGTTATCCAGAAGTGAATTACAAGTACAGGTAGTCCTGTAGACTTACGACTACAATCGAGCCCAACATTTATGTTGTTAAGTGAGACATTTGCTAAGTGAGTTTTGCCCCATTTTATGACTTTTCTTGCCACAGTTGTTAAGTGAATCACTGCAGTTGATAAGTTAGTAACCTGGTTGTTAAGTGAATCTGGCTTCCCCATTGCTGGTCAGAAAGTCACAAAAGGGGTTCATATGACTTTGGGACACAGCAACGGTCGTAAGTATGAATCAGTTGTCAAGCACCTGAATTTTGATCACATGACCATGTGGGTGCTGCAATGGTCTTAACTATGAAAAATGGTCATAAGTCACATTTTTCTGTGCCATTGTAACTTTGAACGGAACTTAAATGAACTATTGTAAATTGAGGGCTACTTGTAGTCCTCAACTTATAACAGTTTATTTAGTGACCATTTGAAGTTACAACAGCACTGAAAAAAGTGACAAGACCATTTTTCACAGGGTCATTGCAACATCCCCTTGGCCACGTGATCGAAGTTTGGTTGCCTAGCAACTGGTTCATATTTTTGAGCATTGAAATATCCCAGAACAATGTGACCCTTTTTTGCGAACCTCCTGACAAGCAAAGTCAAGAGGGAAGCCAGATTTACTTAACAAGTTTGTTACTAATTTAACAACTGCAATGATTCCCTTAACAACTTTGGCAAGAAAGGTCCTAAAATGGGGCAAAACTCACTTAATAAATGTCTCGCCTAACACCAGAAATTTTGGGCTCAATTGTGGTCATAAGCGGAGGACTATCTGTATAGACTTTTTCATATTAAGGAATGAATCAGTGGTGGGTTGCTCCTGGTTCTGTCCAGTTCTTCGGAACCAGTAGTAAAAATGGCGGGAGGCTCTGTCCACCTGCCCGGACATCATAAAGTATGATCTGCATGCATGCCCAGAAGCTTCTGCACATGCCCAGAAGCATGTGCACTCCTGTTGCGAACCGGTAGTAAAGGTAAGTAAAACCCACCCCTGGAATGAATTGATATTGGAGACAGCAACTCAGTACCAACCTCCTGCCTATCTGTGTAGCTCAAAAATTCTGTGAGACTCAGAATTTTATTTTTATTTTATTTTACTTCGAATTTATATACCGCCCTTCTTCCTGGGAACTCAGGGTGGTGTACAGCCAGATAAAAACACATAATATAAACATTAAGAACAAATTAAAAGGAAATATCTCAATTTGGCCAAAAATTTAAGAAACATACAAATTTAAAATCATTTAAAAGGCATTGTTAGGCCAGCCCGGCTTGTTGGAAAAGGAAAGTTTTAAGGGAACGGCGGAAGGCACAGAGGTCTTGGATTCTCCTTATAGGAGAATGGCCCAGGGACGAGAGAGTTTGGGTCTCAAACTTGCTGCTTGGCTCCTGATCTGTAAAATGGACAAAAAGCACGTGAGGTTGTGATCATACTGAACTCTTAACCCATCACTTGATAAAGATGATACATTTTGATCATATTTAAATACATTCTATAAAAAAAAAATCTCTGTACAAATTTCCTCAAAAGCAAAGGTTTCCCCACCCTCCACTTACATCCTCTTCCATTTTTGAGATACAGTTATCTCCCAAAGAGGGATAGATGGGGAAATACAGATATTGCTTTGGCAAAGAGCAGATTGAAGTGTTCTAAGTGTGTGGATTTCCTTCC